CTTTTTACTTGCTGACGTTTAACCCCAAATTTCTAGAAATGTGAAGTTTTGCTTAATTGCAATTGCTTTCAGAAGGCTTTGGGTCTGGCTTCTATGGGTGTGTGTGTGTGTGTGTGTGTATGTGTGTATCTTTTTCTGAGACTTTACAATCTTATTCCTAATTTGAAACTTTTTTTCCCCCCATGGACTGTGCAGAAGTTTCTGGGGGCACTGACTGTAAATCGATGACATTAAATAAAGTATGAACTCATAAATAATAGAGGATGATAATCATTTTTCTCCTTTGCTTTTATAGCTGACTCTGGAGAAAAAGAAAGAACTTCAGCAGGACAGGCAGAAAGCTCTGGATTTAGAACGCTGGCGACAGAATTCCAAGCAAAGGATTTTGCTGACGCGCGTTGAGGAAATTGTGGCCGATGTGCAGGTAAGTTGAAACACTTCTTTTTGAGAAGGTGGAAGGGGAGCTGTCTTATCTGCAGCAAATTTGGAAGGAAATAGGTGCCTGCGCTCATTTGCTCTCAAGGAGCAAAATCTCTGTGAGTTTTACATTAAATAATTAAATTACATTAAATAATCCTGCTGAGATTAAAGTAGGATTTCAGGATGGCAATTGGAGAAGGCTTTCTAACTAAACACAGTCAAGGATAGGCTGCTTATACTAAATATTGAGCGTGTACCAGAATGGAACAAGATATTTGATTTGGATAAGTTCAAGTTCCCCCCAGCCACAGAATATATTAGGGGACTTTTCAGGCCAGCCTACCTCCCAGGGTTATTGTAAGGATAACACTGGGGGAGGCTCCCACATAAGCTAACTTGGGCTCCTGGAGAAAAAGCAGGATATAAATGCAGGGTGGACATGATGAATGAATGAATAAATAAAATGACAGCTTCTGTTCAATGGATGTACTAGTTGAAATTTGACATTTAAGATATATACATTGATGTAAAATAACCATGATTCTTTCTTTTGTATATCTTAATGTGATAAAGAATTTTGGGGCACCTAAACACCCTAGCAGATTTTTTGGAGCATACCTTTTTGTAGGCCAAGTTTACTTTTGCTAGATAAAGAATTTAGGCACCTTTGATCTGGAACAAATCTTGTAGTTCTGCTAAGAGTTGAAAACTCTTTGTTGTTTTTGCTGTAACAGACCTACATAAGTAGGCACGGGGGTCTGCCCCTCCCTCTCATAAATTCTCTGTGTCTTCTTTTTATATCAGACACTTTAAAGTATCGACACCATTTCTACTGAATTAGAGAGATCTGTGTGCTAACTGGAAGTTGTGAATGAGGTCTTCACGGTCCTTGACGGGCACAACGAAAGTGTGTTTCAGCAAACAATGCAGTTCTGTTTCTTTAAATTAGCTCACTTGTTAGTTCAGCTTGTTGAGCTGGAGTAATAACAGGAGCCCAAACAGAAATCTATTCAATTTCTTGCTATGTTTACTAGTGTGCACTTGGCAACCATTACCTAGCTTGGGATTCAGAAGATGTGGCAAGAGTGTGGGGAGAATAAGATAATAATCACTTACATTTCTTCTACACAGTATGTATTTTTAACCATGCTGTAGCTCTCACCCAGTTAATTGTCTTAAGACGTGCCTGCAACAGAGCTAAAGAGCAATTGTCTGATTAACTTAAGCTACTCCTTTGTCATGATGCTCTTTCTACTTTAAAAAAAAGAGCTTTTAAAAATTGTGACAGACCAAACTAAAGGATTATTGTTAGGTTGCTGCATCTGCCAAAAAATTGCTTTCATCTGTAAACCAACTGATCAGTTGACTTCTATTTCAGGTATGGTTAAAATCCTGTTTATAGCCCCTGAGATTCTTTTTTCTTTGAACTTTGTCTTTCAAATCTGGTTCTGATTTTATTTTTAGTTCTAAAAGTTGTTTGCCATGCATTACTTAAATTTATTAGTCTGCCCTATTCTATAAAGACTCTGGGTGGTGTACAATAAAATCAATCCTAAAATGCAATTAAAAGCCCAAGGTTTGTACGAATGAAATGGGTAAAGGCTTGAGTGGGTGAACATTTATGACTGTATCATTAGCTCCCGATTATTTGGATCCTATCCAGTATGCCTTTTACATGCTTTTGGGACTTCTTTTAGAACAATCTCTTAATTTTTTAACCTAGTACTTTAAGTCAATTCTTTTTTTTCCCCTCTGACAGATGAAAAAAATGTCCAGCCAAAGTGATTTAGATCAGTCTGAGAAAGAGAACATTCATTTGGATTTAGAATCCAAAGTGTTGAATGGCTTTGCAACAGAACCATGCAACGTTTTGCCAAATTCTACTGCTTTCAGCGAATGTCTAGAACCTAAACAGACCCCAGATGTTAAGCCGGTAGATACCCAGGGTGCATCAGATGGGAACACTTTTGCAGGAACTGAACCATTTCTTCTTCATAATCCAAAGGAAACTTGCAGTAACCGCTTGGAGAAGAGAACTAGCCCAGAAGGTACATTTTCCAGTCTTCCAGGCACACCTCCTTCAAATGAGATTGTGAAGACAGAGTCCGCTGACCCCGTCCTAGTTGATGTGGAAGGTCCAGACCCATACATAATGAGCCTTCAGAACCTCTTAAAAAAATCCAGGGAGTACATTCAGAGAGAACAAATCCGACGCAGCCTGCGAAGCAGTTCAAAGAGAAATAACAGCGAAAGCCATCCTGATAAAGAAAACAGTGCAGTTAAAATGAACGAGTTGGGGAAGGAGAGAGGAAAATTTACGGGCAGAAGTACTCCAGTTCTGACCCAGGAGAAGTCAAACCTTATTAAGGCCAGTGCTTCTCCTCAAAGTTCCCCAGCCTCTAAAAATAATGCCAGTGGAATAGCCTCATCCAGTTTTTCTAAAGTAGATATACCAATGAGGTCTGGAACACCTCCTGTTTTGGACTCTGATTCGGATGAAGACTTCAGAAACATCTCTCTCTTTGAACGGGACAGCATCCTCCGGAGCCTCACAGGCTCTTACTCAAAATTGCCCAGTCCCGAGCCAAGTATGAGCCCCAAGATGCACAGGAGACGCCCCAGACCCTCTTCAGTAGGGCACATCGTCATTACCAACCCTGTGAATGCCTATGAGTTGAGTCCTAAAGAAAAGGGAAGAGCTGCAGACTTGATCGTTCAGGATGCCAGTGAAAGGCAGACGGCCTCTGACCCTGTGCCAAAACTGTCTAAGGATCTCGTTCCCATTTGTCCCCACAAAGCTCAGGCTTTTAGCAAGAGCTCTTCAGATACCTTCAATGAACTAGTTGTCAGCAAATGCAATGAAGTGTGCCAGCTCCCGCCCAATCAACAAGAAAGCAGAAGTTTCCCTGTCAATCCTACAATAGAGGGAGAATCAATGTTGGAAAATGGAACGACATCAAACAGTTGCCTTTCAAATTTCAGCCCCCAGGAGCTACAATATGTGAGCTGTCCCCTCTTGACCCAGAATCCAGCTAAGACCGAGAGCCTGCCAGACAGAGCCAAGTGCAGCATGCCCATGGAGCTCAATAAATCTTACGATGTAGCAAGCCCATCTCCCTTATTAATGCAAATGCAGAGTAAGCCACTGCTGGATACCCCGGAAGTGACTCTTGGAAATGAGCAGATTTTAGAAAACGGGTTGGAAAAGGTGAAACGTAGACTTGAGCTGGATGTGGATGCCGTGCAGAAGGAGAACGTGCCATGGGTTGTGTCTACAGAAGTTGACACACCAGAGAGGCGACGGCCGCACAATCAGAGCTATCCAACGAGAGCTGTACTCGATGCCAAGAATGAAACACCACGATGTCTCAGAGGTGAGAAAATAGACATTGTAGTAAGCTTGTGTTGATTTCAAAATGTTCAGAGGGGTTTTTAAAATATTGTATTACTGGGTTCAGTTATATTAGTTAAATACAGTTGAGAAGGGTCTTAGGAAATTGCCAGCTTGTAGGCCTCTTCTAGTGGTAGCCCATTGGCTCTCTTTTTGTGGTAGAACTCTTATTTTGGTGGTTCCTTTTAGTTGTGACCTGACTCAACAGCAGCAGTGGGCAGATGGAAGTTGTCATCTTCAGTTCCCCACAGTGCTCTGGAAGGATGCCACATCAACCATTTCAAGTTGCGAAAAATTATAAATGGTGGTTCATGGATAGCCACCACCTGATGTTGTGGAAGGTGGGACCGAGAGCCTGAGTTGGTTTGGATGGGCTCTTTTGCATTAGTTGCTTGAAGTCCATAGCCCTGATACCAGGCTCTTCTCGTAGATCAGTGGCATTTTGCCTTGACAAAAGTCTGTTTGGTGACGGTAGGTGTCCCTCACTGTTTTCAGTGGGGCTTGCTCCTGAGGAAATAGGTACAGGATTGAAGCTTCAAAGTAGTAATAGACATTTCA